AATTGAAAATCATATACTGTACACAGTGAAAATTAGCACAAACTAGGTACGTTTACTGTCAATCTTTTTTCATAGAAAATTTTTAAAAATAGTGGTTTACTGTCTTCCATTGAATTCAATTTCAAACAGCACTACCAATAATTTTTAACAGTTAATTCAACATAATTTACTCTTTCGCATATAGCATTGTTAAAAGATCTTATCGATCCAACGATAACCAACAATGGAACACGATGAGCGCGTGGAACTATAGTTTTATCCTTCATGGTACTCTAATGAAAGGTCTCAACGAAAGGAATTAATTTCTATCAACCACAGTACTCCTCCTCGACCTCTTATCGTGATCGGGTATATTCCCTTATACCTCAAGAACGGATTGTCGGAAGAGAGTACTCACAAAGGGCGAATGAGACGCCTGCAAGAAATACATCTATTGCTGATGTCAAAACAAAAGCTATTTCGGTTAAAAAAAATGCGCTTTATCTGCACAAGAATTTATACTTTTTTATTGTGGGACCATTTGAAATCTAAAATTTATTCAATGCAACCTGAATCTTTAAAAGAGTTACGACAACGCATCGTATACGAATGCAGTCAGATTACCCCAGTAAATGTTACAAAACATACGACGCCATTTTCAACTAAATGTTTATTATTGTATGGAAGTTGGTGGTGGACTGGTGGTCATTTCTAACATTAATAAAGTGATAACCAATTTTTTTCTGTAATTTCGAATAATTTTTACTGTTACGACGTTGGTTCTGCAAATCCTAAATCGAGTTTTCTCTGGAATTACTGATCGGATTTTAAAAGTAAGAACAGTGCTGAAAACAGAATGCGTATCGAATTATCTAACGTTTACCACCCCATTTATTATGTATTTAATTTAGATGCTCCCCCAACAATCGAATGGTAATTTGAATTTGAGTTTTAAAATTCTTATCACCATTTTACACACACTTAAAAGCTCGCTTTTAGATGTAATTATTTTAAAAATTCGCTTCCAGGGCCTTCTAGACTTCTTTTTTTTTTACTAATAATGCTATTTAGATACAAAATATAGGTAGGTATCTATATCTAGATACATTGAAACTAATGCATCTAAAAATGTATCTACTCGTAGATACAATTTTTCAAATGTATCGGTATCTGTATCTAGATACTACTCAAATAAAAGTATCACAACATTTCCTATTTTATTGCTAACGACAGAGGAGAAAAATCATAAGATAACAAAACGGCTTTTATGTATGTCTAATTCGTCGTCAAAACCAAATTAAATTATGTAGGTACGTAATAACATAAATGTAATGAACAAACCTAAACCTTTGTACACCTTTAATTTTTTGGAGAGACTTCAGAGAGTTGACCTTTTTCTTGCCATCATACTCATAGATGGAGAACGTTAAGACTTTCCCACACAAGGGCTGTACGTACAAAGCAAAACACTTCAAGTTTGCTTTTTGCAACTATACAGCGTGATCCAGGGAATTGCGATGTTTGGAAGATATAAATTTTAAAAGACTTTGTGACGCAGGTTCTTTTATTGATTTGATGGGTAGCATCCCCTGGTGGCTTCTGGTCCATCCTCACACGTGCTTGGATCCTTCTCCACTCCTAATCAAATTAACCACATTTTTGAATTTGGTGCTATGTTCGGTAACAATGTATAAATTCTGTTGTTTGCTACCGATCCAGTCTCTCGAATTTTTTTTATTAAATCTTTGACGAATGAATGATGAACATGCTTACCTACCTGCGTCATTGAATAACAAATTAAGTTTATTCAATGCCTGTGTGTTCTTTATTGAACAGAGTTGCTGTTGTGAACGCAGATTGGCCATTTTTTTTTAAATCAGTTTCCACTATTAGTGTAAACCAGTGTTTTTCAACTTGTGGGTCGCGACCTCCCTGAAGGTCTCGAGGCCCTATTCGAGGGGTCGCGACTAAAAGAAAAATTCAATTGTTTATAGGTTCTACACTACAATGAAAAATTACAATTGATTGCGAAGGTTGTGCCTGTTTATTTTTCAATAATTTGCTGAGACGTGGCTGGTTCTATTTTTGATACGCAAACAATCAAGTCATCTCCTAATAGGAGCCTATTTCTTTTCTTAGTTTTTATATGTTCAATATTGAAGAGAACCGGAGAACATTAGTGCGCATAGGTAGGTAGGAGATCGCAAATGAAACTTAATTATTTTAAAGCTTTCTTTGCGATTGGTCCATTGCAGTTAGCTCGAAAATCTTCGGAACACAAGGAAAAGACTCGTATTTATGTATGTTTTCTCAAAGAAGTTGACCATAAACTCCGTTTTCCAAGGAATCTTTGGATTTGATCCTTAGCTGTTAGAATTTTTGAATTATGAAAATACCTACATGGTATCTTATATAAAGGTGTTTATTAAAAAAATGATTATAAAATTGACAGGTTTTTAAAATCAAGAAAGCAATTTACCCTTATGTGGGTAAAAAAACCAAAAAGAGTTATTGCGGTCTTGTGTGTAGGTGACTTATAATGGTAATAGTGATTATACAGCGCTAAATTTAACGGTGCCTTATTTTTAGTATAAGATTTTCGACAGTTTGTAATACATCGCAGAGCTGATTACCGATAGGTATTAGGATGGTCAACAGATAACATTGTCGTGTGAGACATTTTCAAGCTCAACATGACGCGTCGATTGCTGTAAATGATCACTGTCACTGTTGCAGATCGTTGAAGCTGTTGACCATAACCGGATATTGACTATTGCCATCACGATAGTCGTTGTGATCGTGAATCTAGTTGCCCTTTGTGATCCAAGGCTATACAGGGTGTTTTTTTGGGAGCTTTAGTTAAAAGTTTCTGCGGGAAAGTAAAATAGGTAGGTTTTTGAAAATTTGTACTTATTACTTAGCAGTTACTCTGAAGGCCGAATCGATGTAAAATATTTTCAAAATGGCCGCACTTCCGGAAACGCCGGAAGTAGATAGTAACTTCGTTATTTTAAATGGCAACCCCTATTTTTTATTGCATTTTTGGATCCTACGTGAAATTTCACTTCTTTTGATACCCATATGACGATATCTACCATTTATGGTTTTTAAGTTCTTTTGACTTTAAGAAAAAAATGGCGGATGCAGATGGTACCTTGATAATTGATTACTTGAAAACGGTTGTGGTCATGGCAACCTATTTTTATCAGTGTATAGAGAATGAATAGGGCTTTCTTTTAGTGAACTTAAAAAAAAGTTAAGTTGCGTACGACCGCCCCTATGGATATCCAAATTTATGAAACTTCAAAGACTAACAACTCAGTTTTTTTTAATGGAATGACCATGTTCTTACTATTCCATGAGATAGAGAATCGAAATGGGCATATTTTGACAATACATGTTCCTATAGCTATCTACTACAGTTTCTGACTTATTCCTATTTTATTGAATTGACACTATTTTTTTCGGATTTTCATTTTAGTAGTCGGCCATGATTCTATAACAATTGAATTTTAAACAAATCTAGTGACACTAATCCATCACCCACTGTTATAGGTTAACATAAGTTTTTCAAAAGTCGAAAAATGACTCGCAGTGGTTTCACCTATTTTGGAATTTAATTGTTATTTATGGTGAAATGGACAGAATCGCTGCGCGTGTTTTCCGTACATTCATTCGAAAACTGGAACGAAATTGTATGAATTTTGGAAATTTTGTACCCCTAATGCACTACAAACCGTTGAAGCACAAGTGATACAAAGCTCTACAAAAGAATATTTAAGAAAATGAATTGAATTGCAAATGCGAGATTAACAAAATAAATTCAATGCAAAATATAAAAAACTTCGTTGAAACATTTTTGGTATGGAATTGTTGCTAGAACAGATATCGCATTACCTCTCTTAATTTCCAGACTTATAAGTTGTTTAAGAAATTCAGTTGAACGACTCTGTTTAGATTTTTCAAAAATTTTCCGTCCTATATCCTTAATAAACGAGTTATTTATTAATGAATTCTTTAGACTAGAACTAGAATCAATGGTATTAAAGAATCCATTCCTTGATTTGTTTAAAATTGGATTGTTATAAAATCATGGCCAACTACTAAAAAGAAAATGCGAAAAAAATGGCATCAATTCCGAGATCAATTCAATGAAATGGGAATAAATCAGAAACTGTTAAAGATAGCTATAGGAACATGTTCTATCAAAATAGCCAATTTCGATTCTCTATCTCATACAATATTAAGAACATGGTCATTCCATTTAAAAAAACTGAGTTTATAAACTTTGAAGTTTCTTAAATTTGGATCTCCATAGGTGCGGTTGTACGCAACTTAACTTTTTTTTAAGTACACTAAAAGAAAGCCCTATTCATTCTCTATGCACTGATAAAAATGGGTTGCCATGACTATAACCTTTTTCAAGTAATCAATTATCAAGGTACCATCTGCATCCGCCATTTTTTTTCTTAAAGTCAAAATAACTTAAAAACCATAAATGGCAGATATCGACATATGGGTATCAAAAGAACTGAAATTTCACGTAGAATCCAAAAATGCAATAAAAAATAGGGGTTGCCATTTAAAATAACGGAATTACTATCTACTTCCGGTGTTTCCGGAAGTGCGGACATTTTGAAAATATTTTACATAGATTCGGCCTTCAGAGTAACTCCTAAGTACAAATTTTCAAAAACCTACGTATTTTACTTTCCCAGAAACGTTTAACTAAAGCTCCCAAAAAAACACCCTGTATAGTTTGGTATTGTGTTCAAGACCACAACCCCTATACTTTCTTGAAAGATAGGGTTAGGCTTTCAGTTACTTCATTATTTCAGAGTTACGTTACAGTGATAGTTCTGTACGGGATATCTTCAACATTACCTATCATTATTTTATAAGACTTAATAGTATTTTTCAATCTTCTTGAGCCGCTTTTTTTTAAAATGTCACGTTTCAGGTAAATGTGGACGTATATAATACAAAAAACAGTTAGCTTATAGATTAGCCATAACACAAAATAATAATAATTCCTTTATTAAACTGTGCAGGTCAAGTAACTATAATATGACAAAATTTATCCCAACTTGTACCATGTAGGTACTAACGAGTATAAAAATCAGACAACTGCAGCTTCAATAGTAGTGGCCCTGTGGTTTTAGCTGCAAGATTTGCGCACCATTGCATGGTTTACAAATGTAAAACGTTGCATTTTTCTCGTAGTTGTTCTTGATGTAAGTTATCAGCTTAGCAACAGCCCGCTCAAGAACCTTAAATTACAGTAAATTAAATTGGGACGTTAATACATAGTAACTTACCATCGTCACAGTACACCCTCCGAAACCACCCCCAGTCATGCGACTCCCCAAAACGCCGTCCACTTTCAAAGCAAGTTCGACCAAAGAATCCAGTTCGGGACAGGACACCTCATAGTCGTCCCTTAGCGAATTGTGACTTTCAATCATCAGTCTTCCGAACTGTTTGTAATTTCCCTCCTTGAGCGCCTCCGCCGCCATTCTCGTCCGACGTATTTCCCCGACGACGTGCTTCGCGCGTTTGATTACATCCTCGTCAGCGTTTAGGGTTTCGAGATCTGTAAGGCCAACTATAGCGATTTGTTCTCACGATGACGCCGGAAGGTTACATTCAACACCCTCGTCAGTTACGTCCCTCAAACTGAACTTATTTAATAATTTCGAGGCCGCAATGCACTGCTCTTTGCGGGTGGAATATTCGCTTCCTGTTAGTTCGTGTTTTACATTTGAATTTATTATAACGATTACAATATCGGGATTTGATAGCGGGATTAAAGTTGGCACCATTGTCCTGAAATGGTTTTGTTCTTCAGCTTTCATCAAAGAAGAGGTGGTTGGAAGGTATTCTCACCTACAGTCTATAAGAAGCGCATTGCCTTCTTTTCCCATCACCGAGATGAATTGGTCCATAATGCCACAAGGCATTCCAACAAAGCCGTTTTCGGCCTTCTGGCACGCCAGAGCCTTATCCTTGGGTCTACAATGAAATTGTTAATCGCTGTTAAGGGTAGTACTAGTTACAGGATATCATTGACACCATTTAGTGCGTCTAAAAATGTGTAGGTAGCCACCTCTAAAGCGGCACTACTGGACAGACCACCACCTGTTGGTACGCTGGAGATGATCACGGCCTGAAAGGTAGGAGCTTCACCTTTGTAGTTGACGATTACTCCTGAAATATGTGACATGTTAATCTGCAACCAGACGGTACATGGTTTACCCTTAACGTAATTCGCCCATTTTGGTTTACCGGGTGCACAACGGGACATCAAAGCGCGTTTATCGGGCATTTCTATGACAACTCTTTTAGGTGTATCAACATCCTCGTTTGTCGTTAAGGCGACGGAGTAATAGCCAGAAATTTTGCTACCGACTATGACCGTAACCAACGGTAAGGCCTGTTAAAAAAAGACGCATAGTGTACTCCAGCGACAGCATCTAAAGTGACCTCGCTCTGACTTTGAATTCTTTTGCTAGTGCAATAAACACGTTTTTTTCTAATCTACCGTTATCGAGATTGTATGTATAAAATATATTTCCTGAGATAAGTTTCCAAGCTGATTATACAAGCTAAGCGTTTTTGGAAAAATTTTCATAATTCACTCACTGAATTTTTTTCTTTGAAATTAAAACAATTACCTACTTACCATTGGTAAAACAAGTCCATCGTTGTAATCAGTATGCTCCCCAATTAAATTCACTCGTCCCGGGGCGCAGACAGAAACGTCGGGGCTGCTGTTGAATTCCTGTTGATAAACTTCCGTTGCCGCCTTCACGAGCGATTCGATCGAGGGAATTTCTTCGGCCATTGCTCGCTAATTTGATATCACGACGCCCTTGAAAAAATACGTCCGCCACCACTGCCTGTAGTTCACTAATTGTGGCGATTATCACTCTGTTTAATTGAATGCTCCCCATCGCATCTTCACTTATTTATAACCTCAATGATAACAAATTATCTTATAAACAAATAATACAGATAAACAATGTCAGTCAGTGATCCGCTCATTAAGAATATTAAATGTAAAAATGCTATGATTTAGAGGTTAAGTACACGTTTAATTGCAGGGATTATATTGAAACTTATCCAGGACGTCGAAGAACTCGGCTACATATCCGATACAAATGTGAATCTTATCAGTCTCTGTGAAAACGTAGAGAAGGTGTTCAATTCTGCACTATCGTCAGTGTCTACAACATTCGGATTCATCAAGGCGACAGACGCATGGTCTTGGCTTGAGAAGGCCGCTGTGTGCGGAGACAGTAGCATTACATTCGCTTACGTAAACTCGGTGGAGCACACAGCACATTATCAACATATTCTAACAAGAGTGGGCCGGTTACGTTTACTAATCCGTAACCTTCTCTCGCGTAAAGCGTTGCACGTCCCTGTAGAATACCTACTAAAAAACCACAAGTGCGGCATTTACAAACAAAATTCAGTGTTAGGTGACGAAATTCTAACCGAAATACTTCTTTCGCTCTTTCGCCAGTGTAGCCAGATTAATTTTAAACTTGATCTATCGAACATATCATTCCTCGATGTGACTTGGGAGCTACCCGAAATTGTAAAACTTGAGCTGGTGCCGTGTACACAGCTGGGAATCAGTATTAGGTATGTCGACTTTTCCGTGAATCATTCTAGGTATTCTGTTGTAGTTTTGCCAACGAGAAGGCTGTTATCATCGACATACAATCGAATAGCGTGATAGCGGAAAATGTAAGCTGTTACGATTGTCGCACCTTTTCTATCGTGAACGTTTCAGGGTAGAATTGAAGTGGGCGATTTGTTAGATAATTTAAGCGGAGTACACATCTGCTCTGCCACGAAAGGGAAGCTGAATGCCATTTTGAAAAGCTGCAAGGGACAGCCAGTGAATGTTACAATTGTTAAGGCGAGAAGTAGTGGTGCCAATGAGATATTTAAGCCAATTCTGGCCTTATTGAAACAAGTGCATATCGATCCAGTGGCTTTAAGAAGCAAGAATTTTATTCGACCGGAGTTAAATTGGGAATCAAAGTCCACAAGGTGTGCAGTTATTTTGTTGTGCATTATTTTTGAGATATTTCAAACTGCCTGCCTGCCCATGAAAAAGTAGTTAGTTGTAGTAACACAAAAATCGCTGATTGAATTTGTTTCATTTTGGTCATTACTTTTTCCATACTTTTGCTCACTTGTGTTTGTTAAAGTGTTTTCTACTTTTTTTGACATTCACTTCTTAAAAGAACTCCAAACATTATCAATAATAAAAAATGCTTCAGTATGCTTTTTATTTTATTTTGGAATTGCTTTCTTTTCTAGTGGTAGTGGCTTTGTAAACTGCACTCTGTGGCTTGTATTCTTGTACAGATTTGAATTTTTTGTGTAGCACATGCTTCGAAGTACCAGCTTTTGAGATTTCAGTCTGTTGATCCAATATTAGTAAAAGCTGAATGAGTCCATGTCCTAGTATATCTTCTATGGCAACCTGTTTCAATTATATTGTTGGGCTGCTTTCCATTGGTTGTTTTTCACAAGTAATAATAATAATAATAATAATCATATTTAGTAAAAAAAAAAAAAATTTGTTACAATAAGCTCGGTCTGACTACGTTTTGCACGGGAGTAAATTCATCTCATTCGTCACGTCACGTTTCAACTACAATAGTTATCTCGTATGTCACGGGGACGCTACATGGGGAATCGCCAGGGCCGGTTCAAGGCAAAAGTTACGTGTAAGGAAGCACTAAAATTTGCGCCTCTGCCCGCCTCTCTAAAGCCTGAATAATGGGAACTTTTGGCAAGCACGTTTTTAAAAATGAAAAAAGTTTTCGCCTTAAGGCGAGTAACTTGAGCGCATTTTCCATGAATTCATCAGTACTTCCGAACAGGTCATACAACGGACTGTTTGTGTGTACAAAGGAAAATAAGTTATGGCATAAATATTCATATAAATAAGAAACTTAAGATTGCGTAGTTTGCGCATGCGCACGTTTGTTTTTTACAATATGCGATATGCTTGTGTATGCATCTGTGGTTAAAATTTTAAAGAAATAATCTCCATAAATAAGAAAATTGACATCGCGCAGTTTGCCCATGCGCACATTAATCGTCAAGATTCTTCTTGGTTGAGGTGTCAAGAGTTATTAGCTACCGAATGCAAAAAGAACGAACTACATCTTGAAAACTGTAGAAGTAGTTAAGGATTTTTTTTGCGTCTGTGGTCTGTCAGTCATTAAACATGAGTACTTTTTGCGCCTCTTGTTGTCTGCGGCGTAAGCGACGGGTTACACCGCTTACGCCTAAAGCCGGCCTTGGGATTCGCGATCTTTTTAAAGCGCATTTGAACGGAAAAATCATCAATATGTCTTTGACTAACTAATAGCATATTATGTTAATAGTTTTGCAGTGACAAAAAGGAGTTGAAAACTATTAATTACCTATGCGTTTTAAGTGCGCAGTACCGTAGTCGAAGAAAATTTCTGATTTTTTTTTTCAAATAATGAGGCAGGCCGACCAGTCGGGGATCAAAGTAGTGCGTCGGGTACATGGCTAGAATGGGGAAAATACTGCACTTTTTGATTGGAATATGCCACTTTCTGTGGTAATAGTTAATACCAAAAGGCAACTTTTGAGATAGGGAGCCACTCGAAAATCCGTGCAGGAAACCAAAATGGTGGCCGTCAAAATGGCGCCATTAGCCGCAATATATTTTTTTGTATCTCTGCTCCTAATAGTCCGATTTTAATTTTCTTTTTTTTTTATTGAAAGCTCTTGTGACGAGGAAACTTTTTTGCTATATAACATTTATCTCTAAAACTTAAGGATTTAGCACAATTTTAAAAAAGTGTTTTTTTTACGAATTTGAATCACAAGTAAGCTCTTAATTGTGCAATATCGCGGTCTTTTCGACAAAACTGGCCATCGTTTAGAAATTCAATCGATTCCACCCCAAAACTCCTTGTATCTACCCTGCAAGTTCGGAAAATGTCAATCCGCCATGTTTTCTTTTTTGAAAAAATACGCAATATTTGTTTCATCAGGCACGAGATCAAGCATTGTGAAAATTGAAAGGATAGCCTCGTCAATTTTTTTCTCTGAAAAACAGAAAATACACTCTGATTTTAAAGTAAGAAACACTCAATATATCAACTTTAACTCTTACTCTCGCTTTTACTTATCCTAGGTATTTTATTTAACTAGTTGGTTTAAGCTACGACGAATGTGGAATTTGGAGTGCTTATTTATCAGATCATGGGTTTTTTCGAGGGTTTTCTCTCGGATGTTCTTTAAGAATATTAACGGAATATTATGATTTCCAAGTTTTAGATAGGTACCTATTCATATAAGTTGAATCATTTTTATTAATACAGGGAATCCACCTTCTGTAAACGGACGATAGAGCCTCAATGGTTGAGATTAATGGTAACGGTTTGTTGGTACGAGAAGCCTGAGGGGAAGCCTAAAACGTATTTTTAGGTATATAGGGTGTTCTCGAGGGCAGCCTATACATTTTGATATTTTTTATAGGTATCCCCGGGTATCCCTTAACAAAAGGATTATTTTTGTAAATCTTATTGGTTTTTTTCGCAATGCTAACCGCGAGGCTAACCGTCCGGATATGCTTTTTATACAGGGTGAAAATTTTATCTTCAAAACATTGTTTAAAGAAGCTTTTTATCAGTTATGACATCCATAATTATAACAAGTTTGCTACCAATTCACGTACATTCAATTTGGGGTCAGTAGCATACTTCTGCACGGTCAAAGGGAGCATACTGTTTTTAAATAGCAACCACTATTTTCTTGACGTAGTGAATTATTTGTCGATACAAATTGATACAATAAAACTAAATTTTTCAAATAATTGAATTTTAATATTTCTTTACCTAATCGACTCGAGATTTCGAATCGTATAGACCGATTCATCATCAGACCTTAAGAGTCAGAATATTGTGCTGAATAATACAAATCCTTACATATTAACATTTGACGTGGACAAGTTACACATAAAAATCGGGTTGAGCTTACTTGTGATTCAAATTCGTAAAGAAAACACTTTTTTACAATTGTGCTAAATTCTTGAGTTTTAGAGATAAATGTTATATAGCAAAAAAGTTTCCTCGTCACCAGAGCTTTCGATAAAAAAAAAAAGAAAATTAAAATCGGACTATTAGGAGCAGAGATACAAAAAAATATATTGCGGCTAATGGCGCCATTTTGGCGGCCACCATTTTGGTTTCCTGCACGGATTTTTGAGTGGCTCCCTATCTCAAAAATTGCCTTTTGGTGTTAACTATTACCACAGAAAGTGGCATATTCCAATCAAAAAGTGCAGTTTTTTTTTGGCGTACCCAAGTCCTAAAGCAATGTCCTAAGTTCCTGAAATAAGCGAGGCGAGGTTGAAGCTACGTTAAACGTTTCTGATTTTTTTTAAATAAGCGAGACAGGTAACCGTTAAAACCACAGCAATATTTTTGATTTTTGACCACCCGCGCGTTAGTAAGGGAGGTATTGGCATTGGGGTAAAAACTGACCCCCTACTTTTCTTTACCGAAATACACGTTTTGAAGCGCAAGTAATCCGAATCAAATAAGATCTCTATGATGTCGGTCTGTCTGTACCCAGTAAACACACAAACGTTAAAGTAACGTTCAAAATTGAATAAGACAAGCGCGTTATTTTAATGTCCAACAAATTTACGTGAAGTAACACGTACCTACTTAATAACAATCAAAAGCTTATTAAACGATAAGGGGCCAAGAAGGGGGACTATGATTGATAGAAATTGATTCCATTCGTTGAAACCTTTCGTTAAAGTAACATGAACGATAACATCAATTTCTACACTCCACTCTCGAAAAGAAGTCTTGCATGAATAAAGTTCTAGTTTGTAGAAACCATTTCATTCCGATGAGACCTTTCATTAGAATACCATGAAGGGTAGAACGTGTGTTCCCCCCATTTTCAAAAGTTTTACTTGGTAGGTACCACTAAAGTAGGCATGCCTATGCAAAATCTGACATCAAGGGTTGCGTTGATGTCGCATGCAAAAGTTATGCACGTTTTACTTTTAAAAACCGCATCGCAGGAAATAATTCATGAGCGGGGCCCCCCTTTAGATACGTACGGAGGGACAGACGGACAAAACGCAAAGAATAGCACATTTTTTAATTCTTAAAAAATGCGCTAAATTATTATTACTTATTGTTTATTTTGTGGTCAGTGTAATTATTCCACGAATAGTACCCAAGGCTGTTTTGAAGCATACCTACTCGACTTAAAGCCCTGAGGTGCACCACAAAAACATTTTAAAGTACTCCTTTCTCGAAAATCAATTACCATACAGTTTTTTTTTTAAATTGCAGCTGATAATTAAAGATAACAAAATATTCAATCCACACGGGATGCGTCGCCTATCATTGTATTTCAGCACTTTCATGCTACGACAAAAAATGATAAATTAATTGTAAAACACTTCAATTAAAACAGAATTTTTTAACAACCTAACATCAACCCCAATTAGAGAAACGTGTTAATAATTTATTAATAGTGCAAGAAACTAAATACAGCACATACTTATAAATTTCCAACGGGCCATTATGATCTACAGGCCAGGTGGCAATCGCCCCCCCCCCCCCCGGGCCAGTTCGCCCCTGTTAAGACTTCCACCATAAAAATTTGATTCGATATGCATATTCCTTTTCGAAAATCAGCTTGGTTTTCAGTCACCTTTTCAATTCTTACTTTAAAATATAGCGCACAAAATTTATATGATGATAGTCTGTAGTCCATACTTTTACTTTGTTTTTTATGTTTTCCTCTATATTTCTTTTTCGGGTTCTTCAATGTTGCTTAAAGGCTTTCCTTTTCCGAGTGACATTCGTTTTCATGATCATAATTCTTTCGTTTTTAGGCCTCTTTCTAAGTGTTCTTTCCATGCTTTCTTTATTTTTACATCTTTTCCTAAAATTTGATGTCTTCTTTACATTTATATACCTACTTATTTATACCTATTTAACTTCGGTATCCTTTTCTTTCGGTTCTTAAAATTTGGTCAAATTCCCTGACTCTTTTTAGGTATAGTAATCTGTGCGGTTACTAGTTCTTTATTTTAACAGCTATTGTTCTACTTTTGTCGCTATTTGGTTCGTTATGGTGTCGAGGCTTGCACAAAGGAAGGAATTTTGTCTGCGCTTTTTACTAAACAAGTATAAATTGTGCACAACTGTTGTGCAGATAAAGCGCATTTTTTTTAACAGAAATAGCTTTTGATTTGACCACCAATGAATATATTCCTTGCAGATGTCTGAATCGCCCTTTGTAAGTACCCTCTTCGGACAATCCGTTCTTGAAGTATAAGGGAATATACCCGATCACGATAAGAGGTCGAGGAGGAGGATTATGGTTGGTAGAAATTAATTCTTTTTGTCGAGACCTTTATTCATTAGAATACGATGAGAGATAAAATTAATTAATTTTTATCTCGACAATGTGAAGAAAAAACTCTTGTGCGGGGTGCTGTCACCACCGCTTTTACCGAGTCCGCGAATGTTAAACGTGCTCACTTAAAAAACGCGTATTTGGAAACATTTACTTGATCCTGATCCTTCAAATATAAACCCTCTACTGCACGAATTCTACAGAGGAAAATTCGAGCAGAACGTTACACATGGAAACTGATTAAGTGTTCTTCTGAAACCACGATTCCGTGCAAAACTAAAGGATGTGGCTGTAAAAGTGCACTCTTGCGTTGCACCATATTTTACTTATGCAGAAGGGGCGTTTGCACCAATGAGTTAACACATGCAGTTCAGCTTGCAGAAGATAATGAAAACCACCAGGGTAAAGCTCAAGATATTGTTAGGGACGTGAGGGGGATAACCAGGATGATACCAATTGGGATAAACTGTGATACTGATACACCAAAAATAACTATTATAGGTATCTAAAAATGTCTTTTTTTTATTTTATTGGTTTTTTTCAATCCATATATTTTTTAAAACAGTAAATTTACTTTTCTGGGAGTTATTTTTCTACTTTAACTGTTGATTTTACCCTTCAACCATCAAAACCTCAGTGAAAATTTCATCAAGGCAAAATGTCATCAGTCAGTTATTCCAAAAAGACCATCTGATGAAACGAAATTCATTGAGAAAAAAACAATACGAAATTTAGGGGTTTTTGATTTAGCATCTTTAAGCTTAAGCCTTTCGCGCAATTTACGGCTTTCGTGTGATTGTGCTTGCAATGCTTAATTTCATTGCGTTTAATTCACCAAATTGTTATTAAAGAAAAATGTATTTTGGCAAAATCTTTCTTATAGCACCTTTTCATGTAGAATCCATAGCGATACACCAGTTTTTGTACTGGGTGTTTGGTTTGTTTATGCGACGAAAGTTTATGCTCTTATACACCCTGTATAAAAATTATGCATCGGTATGGATTTCTACATAAAAAGGTGCTCTAAGAGAGTTTCCAAAATCAATTATCTTTAATAATAACAAAGGTATGGGGGCGGGGCTTAAAGAAATCGACTAAATTCGAGAATTAATATTAACACTCAATATAGGTAAGTTTCTAAGTTTAAAACTTTAAATAAGAGAAATATAAATTAAATAATATAAGAAACAATAATTTTAACTAACGTAAACGTTCAAAATGTCTGTCAAAAGGAAAAAATTACACTGTGCCATTATATACACATTGCAAAAATTTATTGGCTTAGTTTCTTTCTCCTTAGCTTGTCTTACGGGCACCGTGTATTTTACTTTTTTTAATGCGAAACATTTATAAAATCCCTACACCATATACTATAACATTTGTCATAAACACTCTTTTAATTTCGATATTCAAAATGACCCCCCTTCGTAAGACAGATTGAAAGAAAATGTTTTGGAGAAATGTTGTAGTAGATAGTGCTTTGTTACTTCCGAAAACCGATGGGGTGGCGATCAAAATGTGTGTTTTTTAATTTTTGATTTGTTCGCTTTTATTATTCGAAAAAATTGAAAATAATTGTAAACACAAATGTTTTAGAGAGCTGAAAGATAGTTTTGAAAATTTTTGTTTTATTCAATAATCCTTTTAAAATGCGGAAGATTTTTCAAAAAACAAAACAACGCCAATAACTTCGAATCAGGGCACCAAATCAAATTTTCCAAATTTAAAGGATATTTGTTTTACTCATTTTTAAGATCATAAAAAATACAAATGTCGGGGTTTTATTATAAAAAGATCAAACAAGAATAAGATGACCTCCATACTATACAATAAGGGATTGCTCAGAAACTACAGCCATTTCAATCTGGGAACTTACCTTTGAATATCCTTGTGCATGCGATTGCAAAATTGGGTAAATGGTAGCCAAGTTCCAATTTGTCGGGTGTTTCTTCGCAACAATAGATTCTGGCCCAATCGTAAAGTACAAAATTGACTTTCAGCGCTGGATTTAAGGCGACATTTTTCGGATTGGTCCACACAGGTAAACTGGGCGACGTAAAACAGATCGACAAGGCCGTACGTTTATTGCTGTCCCCTTACAAGAAGACCGACAGTTCCGATTCAAAGCACAAAGTGGTGAGGAAGCCTATATATTTTGAGGTTGGCGAAATTGGCGTGAAAGTTGTCGATTCGCAATCTTCCAATGTAAGTCGATCTTTTATGGGTCTAAGTACATTCATGAAACTTTTTGCAGGTGATTTTAAAACATTCCTACATGGAAATTTCGTCGTGCGGATCAGTTTCCCATTTACCGTATTACTTTGCGTACATTGCAGGGTAGGTATTTTGACTTTAGGGAATTACTCGCTAAAGTATTGGCCTTCAGGAACGAGAACTGCAGTAACGCGAACGAGTTTATCTGCTACGTTTTTCACGTGAAGAATTTTGAATTTGCGTATACCATTTTGCAAAGTATAGGTAAGAATCATTACGGATTCCTTTGCTGACTTTGGGGTTGGGTTCATGTTGGGCAAAAAAGTTTTGTATTTAGTCTACTGTAGTGCCTATGCATCACGTTATTGGTAGTAGTTTACTACGTGCGTAAATTTTAACACTGAACATACAAATCTCCTATGTTCTATTCTTAAATATACAAGGCAATGATTTGATATACCTGATAGTTATGCTATTTCGTCCAGAGTTCATATTCTGAGCAGCCCAGTTGACTATACATCAAATATCTAAGGAATTGTCCTTAAGAACGTGCTTTTTTATTTGTTAACGCTTTGATCTTTCCAGGACAAGGCTTTCAGCGAACACATTTTGCAGTATAACACACATCTATCAAGCAATTCCGAAGAAATGATCCAGTTTTATTTATATACCTATACCTAGACATACTTACATATATACAATTCTTTTAAAACTAGCGGGGGGTACAAATCAGTATTGTGATACCTAATCATCATATACAAAGAAATATGTGGACCAGACCAGACCAGACGATGTTGTTGTGTTCAATTGAAAATAAATCAATAACGCTAAAAAGTTTAATTTGCCGACGACGTCGTGATGTTTCCGCATGTGCATCCACTGCTATGGCAACTGCTCTGACAGGACGATTCGCTGCATAAACTGTTGTTGCGCGAGTCACAGATTTCTATAAATTCCTCGGCGATTGTGCGATCGAGGCCCGTGTAGGTGCGGACCACGTCCTCGGTCGTAATAGGTTTTTCTTTCGTCTTTGATTTGTACCTCCTCGGTTTTCGTATGGGGGTTGGTATTTGGCGAGAATGGTCGATCATGGAGTGGTACCTCTTGGGGTGCTTACGGTGCGGCTGTAAATTTATGGTTTTGGAGACTTAACGAATCGTACTTCACTTCGCTTACCTTGGGATAGGGATGTATGTGAGGCGATGGTATCGCTCCGAGAGGTGCAGGTATTAACGGGTAACCCAGCATTGGTGGCGGTGGCGGAGAAGGTATGGACAACACAGGCGCGACAGATAGCTAAAACATTAGACGCCTCTTAAATTGTTGCAAAATACCCAATTCATTATCACAGTTTTAAAATGTCTCTACACCTGTTAAAGTATGTCATATTGAAAGTGGTATTCGCCTCAAGCAAGGTAAGTGATCAGTTAATGAAGGTATGCGAAAGATTCGACTATTATAGAAGGAAAAAGTTGGCTTAAGGCCGCTGACAATGTATCCATTCGATTTAGTAGTTGCTATATTAATTAAAAACTAGAGAAACTTGCACGTTTTTTGGCACTTTCTCTTCTTTTACGTGAATTTAATTCAGTCAAACTTATATAATTCTCATCCTAATTCAATAATCCGCATCTTTCAATTGGTATTGTATGTAAAATTACATAATCAGAATTATTACGAATTTTGCCGTCTTTCCCACATTAGGTATTATTTCGAACAATAGGTGGATTAATCTACTCTAATTGCTACAGGTGTGTTTTTATTACAGTTAGCAAATGTATCGCAAGGTTAACATTAACATTAGCATTGAGATTGGGCGTGTGGAAGTTATTGCAAAACAAACAGTTATCCATCTTGGGTTTTTGTTTCACAATTCGTGGTGGAATTTAATATAAATTTGGTGCTCATCCAATCATGCAGTTTGTGGTATACTAATAGCTAATCTTGTCACAGTTAATGGTAGGTGCAAACTTTTTTCAATCATCAAATAAATGTACGTATACATTTATTTTGGTTTCTTTTACCTATCAATCTTTACGGTGAGGCACCTTTTTTGGTTCACATCATCATCAAACCATTACCTATTAGTAGGTATCTACACTCAAATTAGACGTGAAAATTGGTTACAAAAGGTCCGGTACAAGATTTTATTTTTCCGACTTGTTTAAATGGCAAAGAGAGAGTAGAAAACAAGTTTTCCAATGCGACTGACGTCGTGAGAAATTTATGTGGTAAAAAATCAACAAAAATGTATGATTTTTTAGGTTTTTCTAAAATACTTCGCCAATTATGTTTTACTCAAAATTGTAGAGTGTAAAAGTACCTTTCATTTGATATTTCATTTAGTCCTCTGGCATCTATAGTTTAAAGATTCGTGTTTTTATCAATGTTTGAAAATAATGCTACCTGTAAAATGATCAAAACCTTAACTGAAGACGATAGGACGTTTATGAGGTTTAAGAGTCAAACTTTTTGTACCTATAGTTACGAGCTGGGTTTTTACGAATAAACAGAAAGTTTGATGTTTCGTTTGAATTTGTATTTTAGTATTTCTTTTTTCTTTTAGAAATTGTTCAATTTAGAAAAGGTGCTTGAAGGCATATCTGATTTTTGTATTTAGTTTTGAGCTAGCTGAACAGGTGTTTTGCGGGACCGTTTGTCATTGCACACATCATTATTATTTGGCGCCCAACGTGGAACCCCAGCACTACGTTATCTTCAATTTTAGAAAGAGAATAAAGATTGTGGTCAAACCTGGTGCGTTTGAGGTGTGCCGGTACAGTTTTTTGACATCAAAGTATTTTGGTTGATTTTTTCTCTCTCTTTACCATTTGAACAAGTACCGGACCTTTTGTATACGAAGGTACACCTACCACTTCGTCGATCATAGATAGCTTGGGGAAGTTGGTTGAAATTACAATATAATTCCTTGGATTAACATACTTTTACTTAACAGCTACATACATGCATCTCCACACCACATCTGGCCAGTAACAAAAACATCCCTCTCTCGCCCGCGTCCTTTCCTACCCTAAAAACCCGTCGAGCGTTTCTTAAAATAAACTGTACACTAACCAGAAAGTACTGAACTATACAGTACTTATACCTACTATAGGTATCTTGCGCCAAACGGGTAACATCCAGCAGTTGTAGTTTTCATTATTCAAGTTTTCCATAAAATGGCGGAATGACTGAAGTTTCATTTGAAATAAGAAACTAAAGCTTTAACCCTCAAAATAACCCTTCCGCACCCATAATTCTCTGCATGCACGTTAACGTGAATATGGGGTCATGAAACCAACTTTGCCGCCCCGGGTGGCATAGTTCAATCATTGTATATACAGAGTGGCCGAACGAGAAGTATACAAAGGGCTTTTAGGGTATCAAATTTATGTTTCGAAAAATCCTCGAACACGTCAATTTTGTATTCGAGGGGGACAACTTTTGGAATACAAACCACGAACCCAAGTCTTCACCCCTCTACGTAGGGAGCTTAATCCCTAAAATTTTAAATGGAATCCTATGGCAAATGGCAATGGCACATTATTTGAAAGCCAATTTAATCGTGATTACTAATCTCCTTTGCTTTTTAAATTCTATTGATTCGTTTCGGAGATATTCGCATTTGAAATGGTTTTTTCCCCCTGATTTAAGTCCTTTAGATTACTTCTTGTGGGGATATTTAAAGAATAAAGTTTATGCTACTCCGCCCGGAACATTACAAGGGTTGGGAGCACGTATAACCATAGTGTAAGAATAGAATACACTATGGTATAACTCAACAATTTCGAGCGATTACCCCTGAAATCTTGCAACATGTGCGGCAGCGTTTTGAAGCAAATCTTTATTATTGCATGGACGCAGGCGGAAGGCAATTTGAGCATTTATTGAAATAAATGTTGTCTGTTTAAAGTTATTTGTTATTTTTTGCACAATTAAAACCTTTTTTAATACCAGGTGACTTAGATCGCATTTGTTTTTTGGTTTTTTTAGAAAAAACTATTTCAAATGCGAATATCTTCGAAACGAATCAATAGAATTTAAAAAGCAAAGCAGATTAGTAATCACGATTAAATTGGCTTTCAAATAATGTGGCATTTGCCATAGGATTCTATTTAAAATTTTAGGGGTTAAGCTCCCTACGTAGAGGGGTGAAGACTTGGGTTCGTGATTTGTATTCCAAAAGTTGTCCCCCTCAAATACAAAATTGACGTGTTCGAGGATTTTTCGAAATTTATAAATTTAATACCGTAAAAGCCCTCTGTATACTTCTCGTTGGGCCACTCTGTATAATGGTTCAATTGTTCAATTGAAGCTGGATTGCGGTATTAAGGGTTCGGGTATGGATATTTGTGAATGTTTAGTGGGTTGGGCTCTTCCACACTTAGATAGTGTACATAAGTGGTTCTCAAACTTATTTCGATTGCGTCCCCTTTAATAAAACTAAAATTACTCACGCCCCCCCCTATCCGAATAAAAAATAAAAAGTGCTGTTACTACAAACGTATTTATTAAAATAATTACAGGGTGAGTTTTTTTTCATTATGGGGACTCGGAAACCGTAAGAGATACAAAGCCCTTTGGGGCAAATTTATGCAAAATTGTATGGTGATTAAGTTTCCCTTCCAAAAAGTCTTGAAGGTCTGCAAATAGCGAAGTTATGGCAAAAAAAAAACGAAAAATGTCATTTTCGAGAACGGTGCTAAAATAGTTGTTTTGGCACATAACATTTTATGTTTTTCATTCAAGTCGGATATTGGATCCATAACATCAACGGCTTTTGAGGTCGTTTTTAGTTCATTCGAGATCTTTTCTTTTATAGCACATTAGCACCATCATCATAAAAAGGCGAATTTACCGAATTATAGATACCTTCTTATTGGTGTAAGAATTGGTCATAAAAATACCTAATATAAATATTTTAAAGGTAAATATTTGCCTCAAACACATCAGGGATCTCGCGCCCCCCTTAACAACGCCTCCCAGTTTGAGAAACACTGGTATACATGGTGTGTATTAAAATTTTCCATGTGCTCCCGATCTATTGCCTCTCTTTGCATCCTCACATAGCCCATCATCAAATAATCCATTTGCTTTCCCTTCTTCCCCACCTTCCTCCACCTTCTCAACATTCTCTCTAATTCTCTTTTATTTAAAATCCATACCTCACACTCATACATTATAAATCTAGCCTACTGCACCACTCTCTTTCGCTGTTTTGGCGATTGGAATTATTATCATTATCTCTTTTTCACTCAATCCATATGCATACCTTCCATTTCTTCCAGCCGTTTCAACATGCCATTCATTTCCCGCGTATTTTCAGCAAATGTGATCATGTCATCAACAAACAGGCTGACCTTACATTTCTGCCACCTATTTTTACTCCCTTATTCCTTTCCCAACACTTCTTCACCATATTCTTCATATGGTACATAAAGTTGATGAGGGAAAACATCCCTGCCTAACTTTTCTTCCTATTTTAAACTATTCAGTCCTGTTATCACCCACCTTCAGTACCACCTCCTGCTTCCTGTACAAGTTGCTGATCAATCTTCTTTCTCTCCAATCCACACCATTGTTCCTTAAAATGCGCAATAGTTTTGTGTTTCACACAATCGAATGCCTTTTGTAGATCTACTAGGCACACCCTCGTTCTATATATCCTTCTCCAATTGTTTTTACTACTGCGCTTGCATCCCTGGTTCCCAAACCCTTTCGGAATCCAAATTGATCTTCCCCCAATGTCCTCTTCATTATCCTCCTCAGCCTCCCACCCAATACCCGCAGCATGAGCTATAACACTGATGATTCTGTGTTCCTCGCATTTCTATTGTTCCCTACTTTTTCTGAAGCGGGGGTCATAACGGGTCGAAGATCGTCTTCGGGTAAATCTTATTACAACAAATCCCTCAGTTCTTCATTCCTAATTCTCTTCTAAACACTTTATTAACTTTATATCTCGACTGTATCCCAGCAGCGCCTTACCATTCTTCATATGATCACATCCCTTTATATTCCTCTGATTCTTTCTCTATATTTAATCGTTCAGGTTTCTCATTTCTTTGTATAACTTTTCTACACATTCTTTCCATCTATTCAGTACTTGGTTAACCTCTGCTAGCAATTTTCCCTCCTCCTTTGTTGAAACGATGCCGTGCCTTCCTATTCGATCTCCTTGCATTCATTTAGCAGCCATTGCTTCCTCGCCCTTATTTTCTTCTTAATAAAAAAGTTCAACTATTAACGAACTGTTTAAGTCTTACTACTTTTGAGTTTTTTTAAGTGCAAGTCAG